AAAAATAAAAGTTGAGGGACCAATTCAGGTATTTAACCTAAAAAATATGTTAGCCACGTCAACATCACTATTCAATTAATCCTTAAATAGAAAAAGTTAAAAGTTGAAAGTTGACATCCTTAAATAGAAAATGTTGAAAGTTGACATCCTTATTTAGAAATTAACAAAGTTAACATCCTTATTTAGAAAAAAATTGAAAGTTGACATCTTTATTTAAAAACTGACAAAGTTAACATCTTTAAATAGAAAAAAGTATAAAGTTGGAATCCTTATTTGCACATTTATTCGATGGGAAACACTTTTTTCTTATGAAATTTCACAAAAAATTTTCCTTGCTCTTGTGAGGCCTTACGAATATACACATCTCTATAAAAATTAAAACAAATATAAATTAATTTTATTTTAAATTTAATTTATCTTTCAAATTCAAATCCAAATCTAAACTCAAACTCAAGTTCAAATTCAATTCAATTAAAATTAAACTTAATCTAATTTTACTTAACCCAACCCAACCCAATCCAATCCATAAAAATAATCCAATTCATTCCCTACTTACATTTAACCTTAACCCTAATTCATTTTTCAATTTTCATTTTCACCTTCCCCTCCATTGTTGGTTTAATTTTTGCTTATGTTTTAGTTTAGCTTGGATTAATATTTGTTTATATTTGGAACAAATTTATTAATTATTGCTTTAATTATTTATGTTGAATTAATTTTTATTTATATTTGGATAATTTATATTTGATTTTATATTTAAAAATTTTAGTTAATTTTATTTGAATTTTTAAATTTTATTCATTATAATTGAATATTAATTAATTATATGTAAAAAACAAAAAAAAATTGTAATTTAATATTAATTAGTTGGAAATGGGGATCCCCGTGAGGATCCCCATTCCCTACGGGGAACGGAAATGGGGAGCAAAATTTGCCCCTCGTCAAATATTCCTGTGGAGATCTTCGTTCCCGTCATTCACGAAGATGGGGATGGGGACGGACTCCCTGACCTCATGAGACCTCGTTAACATCCCTACTTCCAACCAAAGAGTCTTAAATGCAACAAATTAACGTAAGGATGTATGTTTCTAAAATTGTTTAGGGTGTGTTTCAAATTGTCGTCAAGTACTTTAATTGTACTTGTAGTTATGATTGTGACTGAATTAAAATATATTATAATGTAATTATAATTAAAAGTTATTTTGATATTTAATTATTTATTTTTTAAAAATATTATGAGTGAAATGTGATATATTTTATTAATTATTAATTAAAATTTAAGATATTATTTATTTTTTAATAATTAATGTTTTTTAGATTTGTTATTATTATTAAAATATTATAAATTATGATATAATTAAATTACATGAAATTAAATGATAATGGGTAATTTTGTAATTATATTAAATATTAGGTATTTGCCGTAAAAGTTACATCTAAGAAATTTCAAAATAAAGTTTTTAACTTTATATATATAATTATTATAAATTTACTGCAACTTTTTACATTTTTTTAAAAAATAATCTGAAAAAAAAATCAAATATATATCTAAAAGTATTATATGATTACATAAAAAAACTCCCAACCACAATTTCAAATGTACCCTTAAATTTTAGAGAATGTATTAAGCTTTTTTTTTTATAGACGATTTTTTAAATTATGTTTTAAGAGTATAGGTTAATATTATTTTTTTAATATTAATTGTTATTAAAAAATAAAACTTGTCACTCATTTAATTAATGAACTAATTAAAATAATATATATAATATTAGTGATAAAATTAATTTTAATTTTTATTAATTAATATCAAAAAGTATATTAATTATATCCTTAACTTATGTGATGATAAGGTTAGATAAATCTTTTTTACATTAAAGTGAAATTTTTTTTTTACATTCAAGAGTTAGTTGGGAAATTTTTTAAGGTATACACCCTCTGTTCCACAATATTTGACGTTCTAGGCTTGTGCACATAGATTAAGAAAAGCAATTTATTGCTTTTGATTTTAGGGATTTATAAGTTAAAAGTATTATTTTACCCTTTTCAAATTTTTTGACATTATCACTCCTCATCTTCTCCCCTACTTCACTAGATTCTCCCAAATCCTCCTCTCCAATCCACGACAGCAGCGGCTTCACTCCTCTCAAATGCCACCATCTTCTTATTCTCATCCCTTCCTTCGCCATTCCCACATTTATTTCCTCTCAAATCCCCTTAAAGGGTCCCTTCATAAGTGTGTTGCCACTGTCAATCAAACATAAAAGAGATCTCCATGCTCGACCTCAGATCCACCATGGTCGAAGGCAAGATCGGTTTCCTTGGGATCGAATCCAAAGGCAATAAGCCTTGTTCTAAGTACCACCATTGGCATTCTCAGTGAAAGACATAGGAAAAGTAAGGTTGGTTTGTAGATGAAAGAGGAAAAATGAATTTCGATTATAGAATAGAAGAGATAAGACAAAAGAAGATGAAAGAGGCAAAATAGATTTGAGTCATGGAAGAGATAAAAGTGAAATGGAGAAAAAATGAATTTCAAACAAAAAGAAAAAGAAATGAGAAAAAACAAGGCAAATGAATAAGCGTAGTATAGACATTTTAAGAGAGAGGAGGGTAATTTTG